GTTTGAAAGTGACTTTAAAACAAACGAAGATAGCTCCGCAAAGTCGCGAATTTTGCAGACGTTTGTATTGGGGGCAAATTTAGTTCGTATCCCCCACCATAGAAATGTCTGCAAAATTTCGCAACTTTGTAGAGCAATATCTCAGCTTTCTTTGGGAGTATCACCATAAAACTTCGTAAGTTACCATATTTTAAGGCCATCTCTCCCGCAATGTTGATGGATATTCGCTTACTGCTCTCTATCAGAAGTTGAAAAAAAACCGTGCAAGGTGCTATTCCCTGACTTTTTTCCAACATCTAATCAATTTTCACCGGCCCTGCATCTCACATTTTCTTCAGGTTTTTTTTTCACGCCACAATTATTCTTACATAATTTTTAATCTTTTTACTTTTTCCACGAGATCCGTTTCTGAGTTCCTAGAACTCTCACTTTCAAAAATGACAATACTAAGTACAAAACCTTTCTTGTAAAAATGAGTTTTATTTGCATGACAATGAAAATCCTTTTCATATCAATGGCTCCGCCACTTGGCTATGTTCGTACTATGCCGGATAGTTTTTGCTCCGGCACGAAAACCATACCCGCGGTTTGCAAACTTTATTGATGAGTGGAGTCAGTGTGAAGTTCTGCTTCACAAATTTTGGAGTCATTTTGGAATTTTTGGAGACAAGTATCACAACGAAAAAAGCCATTTTCAGACCTTCCAGCACGTGGTCCTGGCATGTATACACACACTATCGTCAGAGATACACGAAGTAGCTGTAGCGGTCCGCTTACCTGGAAAGCTCAAATCCATGATGGCGGTCATCGAGTAAATGATCGTAATTTACCCTCTTTCTGTTTTGTAGTGCAGTATAATTCTTTAATTTCGATGATTTAATTAAGGTTTACAACGTTTAAAATTAACGTAAATTGTATTTGTTGCGAAAAAGGTAAGGACAAAACTGTGTTTGTTACCGAAAATTTCTGGAGTCGAAGTGACTCCCTTCGTAACCTGAGTCAGGGGCACCCAACGAGAATATAGTTCAAAACCACTTGAACATAGCATTGTTAAACGTATTTTAGTATTAAAACGGTAGGTATAGGCATATTTTTATCCCCTAAAAATTTTTCATCTGTTCGGATTTCCAAGCTAAAAGTCTAGTGATTCGAAAATTATAGGCATCGAAACTTACCTTTTCGAAAATTTCAGCCAGAAAAAAGGCTTCCGAAAATTGTAGGTGACCTTTTTTAGGTAAAAATCCGTTAAAAATGGGCAATTATACCACTTTTTAGATGTTCGAAAATCCTAGGAGAGGCAGACAAGCAAGAAATTTTAGAAAAAATGTTCCGAAAATTCTAGATCTCAAATCGTTTTCCCAACAGATATTTTCCGAAAATTGTCGTTGGGTGCCCCTGCTGGGTGGAGTCATCTGAACAATTTTGGCGTATTTGCGAACACTGCATACCACATAGGGCTTCTGTTCACATATAAGAACAGTGACTTCCACGCGATTTCTGTAACGGAGCAAAGTTGTTCCGCGCCCATCTCTAGAGTGGAGAGTCATAGCCCGGGGGCACTTTAGGAATTTCTGGGTGCGGATGTGCCGCTGGGACCCTGGAACCCTTGACCTATACCAGAGCTAGTTCAGCTGAATTTTGCTACCCTATACTAGAGTAAACTCCCAAAATCCCCCCTATCCTAGAGTAGCTGTTTCCCTAGTCTAGATAAAATCGTTAACCAACTGATCAGTTTCCTGAAAAATGATACCCTATTCTAGACCCAAACGCTCTGATTTATATACCCTATCCTAGAGTAAACTGCTTGAAAACCATATCCTTCACAGCGGCACATACCCATATAGCCCATATATGGCAGTACCCCCCCCCCCCGGGGTCATAGCCTGCGTGGCAGGCGCAAAAAGGGGAGGGGGAGGGGGAGGGAGAAAAGCTAACCCTATCCCCTAAACCCCCATCCCTTTTTCTTTCCTTCCTGTCCCCTACCCCTTTCGATGCCTGCTACGCAGGCTAAGAGTCACCTTTCGGATAGGTGTTCACACTATACTGGCTGTCCAGTATAGTGTGGACCTACAATACTCGTCACAAATCGTTGAAACAGGAGCACTTGTCTTGAATTTTCTCCAAATTTCTTACATTCATGCTTCACACCTTTGTTCTCACTCAGATGTGCTGCTCTCTTTCCCCCATGTTGAGCCAAGCGTATTTTGAAGCACTGAAATGACTGCAAACCCAAATCAACATTTGGGAGGGAAAAATCACACAAGTGTTTCAAGATTTGTGACGAGGATTGCAATACTCGTCACAAATCGTTGAAACAGGAGCATTTGTCTTGAATTTTCTCCAAATTTCTTACATTCACGCTTCACACCTTTGTTCTCACTCAGATGTGCCGCTCTCCTTTCCCAATGTTGAGCAGAGCGTATTTCGGAGCACTGAAATGACTGCAAACCCAAATCAACATTGGGGAGGGAAAAACCACACAAATGTTTCAAGATTTGTGATGAGGATTGTAGCCTTAGCCTTTCCTTGAAACAGAGGCTTGGGTAGCCTGTGAAAAGGCCTGGGGCAACTGGGAAATAGAAACTCTTACATAACCTTAAACTTACCACTGGGATTATTAGGTATGTTCCTCCTCTGCAGCTGAACATCACCCTGACGTAAGGGCCTTACAACATCGTCGTACTGCTCACGGAATTTAACCGGTACCTCCATTTCAAAGGTCTGTCGCTCAGTGTTGGGTTCAAGTCCTCTCTTTCCACACAGGTCTTCTTCTTCTCGCTTCAGCTGCTCATTCATCTGCCACATGTTGGTGTCTGCCCGACCATGAACAGATCGCCCATGAATGTAATACCCATACCTATTATTCTGCACAAGATAATAAAATTATCATGTCTGTAGGAGAATCAACACAAAATCCCGGGGGGGGGGGACTCCCATATGAAACAGACAGGGATGCTCGTCGTCTCGCTTAGGGGTGTAAATTTTGGATTTTGGTCTCGCTTAGGGTGTTCCGGGCAAAGCGCCAATATTTTAAGCCGCCAAGGTCTCGTTTAGGGTTCCGCAAAGAACTTGAGATTTATGACAATGCTCTAAACACTACTATTAGATAAAAGCATTCGATGATTATGTCTTTATATCATTAAAACTCATTGCATGTTGTATTTGTGTGTTTTTAAGCGGTCTCTTCTAGGGGTCAAAATTTACTTAAGCCACACCCAGATTGGTCTCCTTTAGGGGTCACAAAAAGCTTGAGCCACGCCCAGATGGTCTCCTTTAGGGGTTAAATTCAAAATTTCCGACGAGCATCCCCATCTGTTTCATATGGGAGGTCCCCCCCCCGCCCCCGGGCACAAAACTTAAGATTGCACATCCACTGAGTTCAATCGAGACAAAACATTAACATGAAATCCATCAGGAAATTGAGTAATGTTAATTTTCAGTGGACAAAAACCTTGTACCAGAGTAATTTGAACAATATCGCATTCTTTTTTACATTTTTCAAGGGCTGTAGATGTAATTAGTTATATGTAATATTTTAGCACCAAAAAAAATTCTTATGAGAGCCCGAGAAAATAAAAGTGGAAAATTTTGGATAGGTGATCGCTTATGGGAGGTGGTTGCTTACTAGAGGTGGTTGCGCATGGAGGTTTGACTGTAATTTTTTTCCCTCAGGACCAGTTAATGAGCATTTATTGCTTACCTCCAATATGAAGATGCTCACGTTGCTCATTGAGCATAAGTCAATGAAGTCACCAAGTGCATCCCCCACAAAACGCTCATAGATGAATGCAAAAAAGAACCATTGTACAGCCTCTATAACCAGGAACAGGATTGAAAGAATGGCAAATCGCAGTACTTTGCTGAACTCCCCGATGTAATCTGTTGTGTAGTTTGCAGAGAAAATGCCCACAGGGTCTGTAGTCGCCAAAAACTCAAATCCAGCCACCTTTAGAAAGAACAAAACTGTGAATATCTGTAATTCAGGGTTGGTTTTCCTCATTGTTTGTATCTCATTCCACTCATTGGCAATGAACAAAGTTCTCCAGATGCTGACTGGTGCATCCATTGCCCCTGCCTCTCCTGCCTGAGTAGGTTGGTTGACTCTCCCCTGTGGACGCTCCCAGTCGACAAAAAATATGTCAAAAAACACCTGCGATGCCAACATGTGAAGAACATCAAGCAACTTGAACACAAAGGTCACATGCAACAGTGTAAGAAACAATTTTTCCTGGCTTTCTGATGGCAGGAGTAAGGACACTGTCTTTTGGCGTTTGAAGAAAATCAACCAGTATACTGCCATTCCAAAGGCAACCCAGAACAGCATTGTTGAGAATGTGCCCAAGCTAAATAAAATAAATTTCACAAAGGAGAAACCATCTATCTCAAGTTTGCCTTCACGTCTTCGCCAAGCAGACACCTTGACCAAGGCCAGAATTGCTGCCAGAGCAGAGAGACATCCAATGGCTATCTGTAGGTTGAGAGTAAAAGACAAAGAGAAAACTGGTACAATTAACATTCAGTACAAAGCATTAATATGGTGATATTTCTTTGAAGGTATACTGCTTTATACAGTGGAACCCAGATAAAACGAACCTCTATTATATTAATGAAGTCCTCGGTATGACGAATGAGTTTCCTAGTCAAATATATAAAAAAAGAACCTCGATATAAGGAAAATTCCTTACAGCAAACACATTTTGCCAGTCCCTTGGTCCTTCCTTATAATTATCGAGGGCACTTTAAATATCACCACAGAAGTACAAATGTACAGGGTTTGTACTCTTTTAAGCTCTTCAAATTTCATGACTTTCAGTGACTATTTCCATGGCCTTCTCCAGTTTTCCGCGACCTCAGGTTTAGCTGCCGCTTTAGAGAAAATAGCGCACTTATTAGTTGCAGTTCCCGTTTTCTCATACATTTCAAAATGAAAACTGACTAACTGTCATAATATCATAGCGTGTTCATCTTGACATCTTGTGTACTTTTATATATATTTGTTTCTTTTAGTCTAATTATTTTTGAATTTTTTTTATTAATTTCGTCGAAAAAAACAAAAAAAACAAAAAGCAGATAGATACTATGTCATGACATATCATGACAAGTGACAGTGAACCAAAATTTGGACATCAAATGTCCATCAAAAACCATGAGCTTTCAAACAAAACCATTCATCACAACTAGTACTGTTATGTTGCAAAAATGGCTCCACTAGCTTAAAACTTTTAGCTTCAAACAAAAGTTTTTCAGTGAAATACTCAGGAGTGAATAAGTTAACAAACCGTAAATATGAAAGAGGGTCTGGAAGGGGGGGTCCTGATCCCGCATTCCAGCCCCTTTTTCGCGAGAATCCCGCATCCTGCACGTTTTTCATCAGTTTCCCGAATCCCGCTTTTCTTTCCCACAAAAATACATTAAAAAGTCTAATTTCTACAAAAGCTAATAAATGTAAGATGTAGGTTGATCCTTTCGATTGATATTTTGAATTTACGCGTGTTTTTAAAGGCTTCTGCAAAAAGAAATAGCTTTTTGTACCTCAGTATGAAGAAAGAGCACGATAGGAATTTTTTTAATTTTTAGTGATGTACTAGTGAGCAGCACACTTACACTTCCAGTGAACATTTACACTTGGAAGAAGAAGAAACCATGCTCGCCCGGGGCAACGGGCATCCCGTGCCCAATTTTTGGCGAGTCCCGGTTCCCGGGGAACAGTCAAATCCTGAATCCCGAAAATATCCTTCCAGACCCTCATGAAAATTAATACCTCTGTATCTTTCTCAATTTTGCTTGTATCCATTTCATAAGTGACTGCAAAAGAGGCATCCTGGTTCCCATTTTTTATCTCTTCGTCTTGGACATCCAAAGCTTTGTACCTGATACGTAACATTGGAGGGTAGATCTCACCATCAGTTGAACGCACTCGTATGCTGAGCTCAATCTCCTCAGGATAACGAATCCATTTTAACTCTTGGTTGTCAGATCGTCCAATTAGATTATCAACAATGAAAAACCTTCTCGTTAACTGCCATTTTGTTCTGTCAGTTCCTTCATTCACTTTTTCATTTCCTGACAAGTAGTTCTCAACAAGTAAAGGAACAGGATAGAGGTTTTGATCCAGCACAAGGTACATGTCGTAAAGGAACATTGGTTGGTTAATGAGGTCTTTCACTGCCACTGAACAAGTTGATTTGTATGTGGTAGCAAACTTCAATGCTGCTGCCATTTTTGATGGTCGGTCTTTACATAACTGCAAAACATCAAGGCCTTCTTCAAAACCAATAAATGAACCATTAAGAGCAAAAACTGCAAAAATAAAGCTCATTTCCTCACTTGATTGAAATGGTTTGGTTATGTCTTTCTTGTCAAGGGCTTGAGGTGCATTATCAACTGACTTTTCATAAAATAACCACGGCATGACGACAAGCCAATCCCGATTATCACCGTTAACAATTTCATCTGCATTTCTGATGTTAACCAGATCTGTAAACAGTTTGCAAGCATCATTACCACTCTGAGTATATTCAAGCATCACGCACAGGTTCCCCAACAACTGACACGCGGTGAAATTGGAATTATCGCTGCAAAGTATTTGAGCAGCTTTCAAATGTTGTTGGAAAAAAGAAGACAAAATTTCTTTGTCGCTGTATTTTACTTTGTCATTAACATCGGAAAGCGGTTGTGTAAGTAATCTCGTCTCCCGAAAACATATTCCTCCAGATGTGGTGTACCCATCCACGTTGTTACAATCTGAGCAAAAAGTATCATTGAAGATGAAAAAGCTTGAATGACAGCGCTGGCAGGTTGGTTTTTCAATCACACCTGTCGCTATTGTGTCTCCCACACAAGAAATGCACCTTCTTGTCGTCAATCGCCTGCCATCTTGGCTTCGGTCAGAAGCGAAGAAATTGGCTGGACAGTTCTGGCAGGTACCAACGTTTTCCGGACAATTGATACAGAAACTGCCATCATATGAACTTGTGCTGTTTGATGAACCCGTGGAGTCGCATTTTTCGCAGTTAACCGTAGGTCCACCATTATAAGACGTTGTCTTGTATCCCGTTTCGCAGACGCATGAAAGCATGTCTTCGGCACGTTTTTGACCGGGTGTTTGACAGTCAATACAGCGCAACGACGAGAATTGAAAGTACTGATTTGCCTGACAATCCTGAGGAGTCACATAAGGGATCGAAAAGTCGATGGATACGGATGGAAAGGACCATAACAACAGCATGAACAATATCAACAACTTCCGCGCCATTTTGTTTTTTTCGTTGAGTTTTCTTCTCGTTACCAAGGTTTTCTCCGTTTTCAAGATGGCGGGCAACAAAGTTATAGAGGAAACTGGTAACGAGATACAGGCCGCTGGAAAAAAACCTTGGTCACCGCGGGGTCACAAAGAACGATGGAAGATAAATGGTGCAGTGCGAGTGCATGGCCATAACAAGATCGTGAAAACGTGGAGATTTTGTATTTTCCACCATGGTGAAAGACCAGTTCAGAGAGTCTGGAGTCACGAAAAAGATGTGAGACTTTAACAAGTGTTTTCAGTTTAGTTCGTTCACTACTGACTGTGTTCTTTTGCGGGTCGTATGCTACACGCGCTAGATGAGATTCTCAGCATGGAATTTATAAGTTTAGAGCTAGTCTGTTTGTCTTTTCCTTAAAACTACTTCGAATAGTGTAATTCCCTACTTATGTTTTAAACTCATGTTCTTATTTAAGTTTTCTTGGAAAAGGAGAAATCCCAGTTTCCAAACGATCTTAAGACTCTTAACCCATTCTGTGATTTCTGCACGCTCGAAAAACAGCTGTTTTTTATTTTGGATATTTTGGATTTTGGATGTTACTTCTTGAGCAGTAAAGAGTGTAACGAGATTCTTGAATACCGAAATACAATGCTCGTGAGAGGGTAACGAGAAAGGATGGAAGTGAAATCTGCGGTTGTAAAAAATTGCACCTTTGCACTAAACCAAAGCCGTACTCCTAAATGCAACTTAAATTTGTTGACATTGAAGCAGCTTTCAAGTTCATAAGTCTGGCTTCAAAATGGGGATGATTGAACGATTTTTATGGGTTTGACAATCAGGGTTTTTTGGTTAAATTAATTTTTCCAGTAATTCCATCTCATATTGAGCCTCCCCAACTCCCATAAAAAAATACCTGCTTTCATAGTACCCCCTCCCCCCTCTCCAGGACTAAGGCAAAATACAGCCGTGCAATTCATTGTTTCAGAGACTAGTTTCATTTAAGTTTTTCGAGTGTCATGTTTTGAATGATTTCATAAAAAATAATTTGTTCTTGCCATTTACAGAAGCCATGTCAACTTTGGTTTGTTTTCACCTGAGCAAATGCACCAATATGCTCATATTCACTGTGTCAGCAAAAACCTGTATAATCAGGATCCTGGCCGTACTCCCATTTCATTTGGGGTGTTGGATCCTCATATGGTATGTAAGTAGCCTGAGTATCAGGCCTTCCTAAGGGGTTAGGGGAGAGGAGATTTTAGATGGGGGAGGGGGGAGGGGGTAGACTGCAAAACAGTCCGTATTTTGCGTATTCAAGTACGCGCGAGCAGTCAAACAAAAGGTCTGGAATGAGGCTGAAACAGAGAGCGAGACTGGGGAGAGACGCTAAAAATACGGACTGTCCGTTTTGCATACGTTATATTCGTTCGAATTACCCGCTTCTCCCAGCCACGGGCAATTCCCATTGGCTAAATGTCGATGGAAGCTGTCACCAAGCTGTCAAGTAATGTTTTCAACATGTCATTCACGTTGTTCCATACCGTGATGAATTGCTAAAGCTTTCGCTGTAAAATGACAGATGTTGATCGCCTGGATTTGCTCGCAAGAATTGGGATTTGTTTTAAAATCGGAGCAGAGGGAAGCTTTGGAGTTGCTACTCAGGGGAAAGGGTGTTTTCTGTGTTCTACCAACAGGATTTGACAAAAGCCTTATTTATCAGATGTTTGTTCATGCAAAGAGTTCTTCAAGTTCCGTGCAACGGCCGACCGTCATTGTTATCTCGCCTGGCTAAAAAAGCGATCGGTAGGAAACACACGACTTTTACCTCATGCAAACATGCCGCTTGTTCCAATGAATTGTTTTCTCTGTCGAGTAGATTATGCTTTGGAGGAAAACCTTTTGACTGAGCAAATGTGAATTTTGGCCGCTTATTAAATATATTTCATACTGAGAGGTCGTGACACGCATATTTATTTTCTCTGGTAGGCATGATTTGTCCTCTGACGCAAGAGCATTTTCTTTTTTGGCCCCTTTAGAAATGTAAAGCTCTTCATTGCGGCTGATTAAGGGTTCTAGGTTGTTTTATTTCTCCAAAGTGCCTCCTGGATTTGAATAATTTTAAGCGATTTTCTTTGTGTCCGTGAATGTGACTTTTTCCTGCAATGTTTTGTCGCGCTGGGCCCAGCTCGTTAGCGTTTTTGGCAGGATTTTAAACTCTCACAGATAGTAATTTACAGAGCTAAATCACCACGACAAGGTTTGGAATGAGGGGATTTGCTCATTCTTTTCAATCGCAATAATTGTTCATTGTCAGTTAGTGTGTTCAGTTCTTCTCTAATTTGCGAAAGCATCGCCGTGCAGTTTCCCTGGGCAATTTCTAACCGTTGTTCCGCACGGAGAGCAAACTGCTCTTGTGGAGAAAGATTCTCCTTCCTCGAGGACAACGAAAAGTTCGTTTTTCAGTAGGTCGGCCCACTTTGGTAACGTTTCCCTTTTTCTGGTAGGCCCTACAAACGCATTTTCCGAGCTTATCCATCCATTCGTAAAATTGCCGAACTGTGTTTTGAAACAACAGCCGCACATTCTACAATTTGTCCAAAGCCCTCGGCTCTTTCGGCTTTCTCCCTCTTCGAGGAGCAGGCACAGGCTTTGTTGTCGTACTGCCACTTCCACTCAATTTTGATCCTCCACTATATATACTACATTTCACTATATACACTACATTTCACAGGAAAGCAACGCTAAAAGCTGCTTTAGAATTACTGGATTACCGCGTCAATAATAACACGCGAGTCTATCAAATTCACAAAGAGGGCGGAGTTGCGAACAGATTTTTGACAGCTCGACGACATTTTTGAACCCCCTGGTCGGAACGAACTCATTGTATGGAAAACGGACAGTCGGTTTTTTTTCTCTCGCCTCACACGCCCTACGGGCGTGTGAGGCTCGCGCGCTTCGCGCGCGTAAGACTCTTACGCCACGCTTTACCGATTTCTTTTACTGATTTTGAGAAAAAAACCGACTGTTTTGCAGTCTAGGGAGGGGGAAGCTCTCTCCCTTTTTTGCTTCCATCTTTCCTCTTTTCCCCCAGAAATGCCTGATACTCAGGCTAGTATGTAAGATGCATTTTTGTGGGGTAGGAGAAACTCGGCAGAAATCTATAAGAAAAGACGATGTTTTTGTTTGGTCCTATCAAGTTGTAATGTATTTGGGTCTGTTTTAGCTTCTGTGTTTTATGATAGCTTATTTTATTTATAGTTTTAAGGTAGAGTTAATATCTGCACAGAGATCCATATTAGTATCAGTAGTGAACTTAATGATTACATCTTCTGTCTCAATCTTGCTCATTAGTGAACAATATTACTAGAATCTACTCACAGCTTGGCATTTGGTGTCCTTAACCCTATGGCTACTGATTTGCCATTATCTTTCCTTATGAGATGTCACTAGATAGCAACCACATAAAGATTATATTTTGCAGGATGACAGGGGTTATAATAATAATAATAATAATAATAATAACAATAATAATCTTTATTGAGATAACTTTTTCCTATACAAGTATGGTTTTCAAAAAGGATGTCAAAAGATCGAAAAGTAAAGTACACACAATCAACGATAAAACTAAGTGTTAAAGTATATAAAAACTAGTAAAATGTACAAGATATCAACTAAAATCAATGAATTAGAGATCTAAAAGAACACGGTTAAAAATGTTCACATTCACGGAGTGTCCATGATTGTCTGGCTAAGGGAGTTTATCCTTGATGGCATGAAACACAGTCCGTTGTTTGTCCCAGTTCTTTTGGACACTTGGAAGTCTTAAATTTAGTTTAGTTCTGTTGTTATAATCAATGATGTAGTTCTTGGTGTCTTGTGAAATTCATATCATGCTCAGCAAGTCCATTTAAACACTTATACACATAAATACATCTCTGAAAATGCCTTTTTGTTAATGGTACAGGACCCACTTAAGAGTAGCAAGCACATGCCTAGCAGGTGAATAAAGAGGTCTGTCTAAAATCATTTGGCGGCCTTTTTCTGCAAAACTTGCAAACTGGACATTAAGGTTACATTATGTTTATCTCCCAAAACAAAGTTTGCATAATCAAATAAAGGCATGACAAGACCATTATAAAAAAAGAAGGCACCCACGGAAAGGTAGAAAATACTTAAGTAAATAATTAAGTATAGGTTATTTAACTGGTAGAGAGTGGGCTGGAGATGTCCTGACTTGCAAACCTTAATTGATGTGTAGATTATTTTGTATAAATATAATAATGTATTTTGCAGGGTACAAGTAGCAAAGACAGGAGCTGTGAAACATGTGGTAAACCATTGGCTGACTGTGTTGGTCACTATGGTTACCTAGATCTTGCACTTCCAATTTTCCATGTTGGCTTCTTTAGGTCAACCATTGTAATTCTACAAACTATATGTAAAGTAAGTATAAGACTTTAATTAGAATTGTGCTTTCATGCAAGTTACAATGCAGTCATTTTGTGTTTCATTTAAGGTTTAACATGAGCATTTGATTGAATTGTGGAACTGGTTTGTTAAGAGTAGCATCCCAGGAGATCTGTCACGCGTTCTTGAAAATGTTCACCACCATTTTTCCCAACCCGACTGACCACATCACCCCTGGGTCTCCAAGGATGATGAAACTTCGGCCTTGGCTGAATGTTACGTTTTTTTCACTTGAAGTCACAGTGATGTTTTTTCTAATGTAATACAAACAAAATGTGGATATAGTAGCTGGCTATCAGGCATGCCACAGGCATGTAAGAGGTACAGTACATTGTTTTGTAAAATGGGAAGATAAAATTATCAGCTGCCAGGTTGCACAGGAAGGTAGAAAATATCATTTGGCAATTGGCTCCCTCTTTTCCAATAATTTTTACCTTGCTTGATTCTTCAAAGAATGATCTGCATGACTATTCAAGGCTTATTTATATAATGAAGTATAGATATAACCACCCACATCTATTGTGACATTGTCTTGTTAACAAAAGAACAACAATAGGCTGCTAGTTAATTGCAGGTTCACTTTTGGATGCAATTAAAAACAGTGACTATGTTGTGGTTCAATTTTATCCTTGGTTCAAATTTTCTTTTCTTTTGTTTTTGCGTATGGTAATGTATGATAATAACATGATAATAAGTTTGAAACAAAAGAAAAGAAAATTTGAACCAAGGATAAAATTGAGCCACAACAACTACATGACCAAGCAGTCATTGTTTTATTTCTCATTCACTGTACCTGGTCAAGTGAAGTGTTTTAACAAAATGTATAGAGGCCACAGAGGGCAGTTGTTTATGAATAAACACAAATGGTACTTAATAAAAATAATTATGTATGCCGTATGATGCAACTTACTTTTACAGTGTGTAGTAACCATTTTTTGTATTGACTTGTCTTCTTCAGACATGTTCACGGGTTCTTTTACCACCCCAAGAGAAGAAACAGTTTTTGGATCAGTTAAGTCGGCCTGCTGTCTCTTCGCTAATGAGGAAAGGAATCAAGAAAAAGATAGTTGAAAAGTGTAAAAAGATCTCTCACTGTCCTTACTGTGAGGCCCTGAATGGTGAGTGGAGTGAAGCATGATATGACTCTGAAGTTGCAATGTAGTTACATCTATTTCTTACTTTAATCTTGACAGAAACTACTTCATTATTCTATTGCCAAATATTGCTGTTCACAAAGCATTTTTAGTTGTGACTATGTGGGTGAAATCATAGAATGTGGTCATTTTTTAAGCAGGAGCAATTTTTTACCAGTATATTTCCTGGTCATTTTTTTTGTATTCTTGGAGCTTAAGTCAACTATAGTTTGGATCCTGTGAATGCCTTCCCTTATAGGTAGCAATAATATTAATGTAATGCAGCATTGTCATGTCAAAACAGTTTTTTTTTATTGCAACACATTTTAGTGTTGGGCCTGCGAATAGTGTTTCTTTTTAGAAAGAACTATATCTGAACACGTTGCTATTTTAGCCAAGAAAACCAGAAAAAATGTTGGACATGGATTATATTGTCTTTAACTCCTTTAATTGCGACAGAATATGAAGGTTATACAGCAACTCTTAAAAGACCCTTCATCAGTTCCTGATGGCAACACTAAGGAATGCTTTGAGATCATTCGATAATACATTTCATCTGTTTTCCTTTGCCAGGTTTTGTCCGAAAGAGTGGCATGATGAAAATTGTTCATGAAAAGTACAAGTCAACCAGGAAATATGTCGATCCTGTCATCTCAGAATTTCAGGCATCATTTGAATCAGCCATTGATTATAACAAAGAACTGGACAACTTACTGAACAAAGCCCAGGTAGGAAGCAATGTTTCCTTTTGTCACTGTGCTCATCAATACATCATCATCATCATCATCATCATCATCATCATCAGTGTCTATCACCATCACCACCACTTTCATCATCATGATTTTTATTGTCACACCTCTACCATGTACCAGGCATCGTCATCATTGTGGCCATCACTAGCCATCATCAATAATTGCCAGTATTCGCCACTTATATCAACTGTCATCATCATCAGCCAGTATCATGGCTGTTGTCGTCACTATGTTGCCATTACCCTCATCAACATGAATTCACCACCTTTATCTTCCACCACAAACTTTGTCATCACCATCATCACCACCACCCTTATCATCATCATAATCATTTTCATCATTGTCATCATCATCATCGTCACCATCGTCATCATCAGCAGCAGCAGCAATACCAACATACCATCATTATATTGTTGTCAGTTCCTCCACACCATCATAAAGACTAAACATCTATAATTTCAGATTCTTGTTCTTGAAGAAGATTAATGCCAAAGCTTTTCTCTTTTTGCAGGAAGTGCTTAACCCATTACGAGTTATAACTTTGTTTGAGCAAATACCAGACCAGGTTGGTGACTGTGTAACTTTTTTATTTTTCTCAATTTTTTCATTCATATTGTCAATGAAAGTCAGCTTATTACTCCTCAAAACTCATTTAGAACTATAGTAGTTGCTTTTGGTTACAAAAAAGCTGCATGAAACTCCCCTTGATTTGAGGGCCTTGTGGCCCAAGTGCTACCTCGTGCTGACAATAGCCATATACTTTTTTTTGAACAGGATTGCTCATTGCTTTTGATGAGGCCAGAGCTGGGAAGACCAGAAAACCTTATAGTAACACGTCTTCTAGTCCCTCCAGTCTGTATACGGCCATCAGTAGTTAGTGACCTGCAAAGTGGAACGTTAGTCTCTTTCTTTTTCAACTCTTTGACCCCTAATGATTGTCTTAAGTTACTCACATGTAACTACAAAAATTTTAATTATATTTGCTGTCTGTCTCCTTCGAGTTAATGAAGTTGTAAGCTAAATTTTGTAGAATATATGATTTGGTCACATATTAACCAAGCCAATGCCAAAGTTTGTAGCTCGCCATCATTTTTCTCCATTGCTCATATGTGAGAGACTTACCAGTGTGATGGGTATGGCAAGCAGATAGCGTTTCATGTACCTGTTTTGTGAGTATTTCTAATAAGTTTTTTTAAAAATTATTTCTGGCATCGTAATTTTTTTATCTTTTTAGCAACGAAGATGACCTGACCATGAAGCTGACAGAAATAATTTTCCTCAATGATGTCATTAGCAAACACAGAGCCACAGGGGCCAAAATTCAGATGATAATGGTTGGTATAAATTCTACATAATTATCTCCACATAATTATTTTTATGAATTCATGCATTATTGTATATTATATGTATTCAAAGGATTAGGCCAATGAGACTGTTCCAAAATTATGTGGTCCTGCTCCAAAATGTGGTTGCGTGGCCCTCCCCTATTAAGTAATACTTGGGTTATAGCCATTCGTAGTCTAGCATTATTATTATGGAGTTTACACAGCATCTGTTACAGTGTACATGTATGAAAATTATTATGATATTGTCAAAAAAGCAATGCGTTTAGGTTTAATGATTAAAACAAGAACTCTTCTTGTGGATCACACTTTGGCACATTTCTTTGTTGTCCTTCTGCAACCACAACATGAAACTCCCTTAGAATGTGAAATTTTATGGGCAGAAATTTTCCCTTTTCTCATTAAAATTGGATGCAGTTTCTGCCAATTTAATTAAGGTAAAATTTGCCTACATTTGACAATTAAGCCAGCTGTCCAGAGACATTCTGATAAAGTTTGAAAGATAACAAATATAATAATAAGTTATGCGTTTGTTTGTATAATCTCCTAATTGTGACCCTATTTGGGAAAAGCGGGCTTAACGAAAATTGCGTTGAGCCGTTTTTTATCGCAACGCATTTGGAAACGTTGGAATGCATTGGCGAACATTCTTAATGCATTTGAAAGCGTTGGCAATGTTCTCCAACGGAACTAAGAAACGTTCAGTATCGTTTCAAAATCATTTCAAAACATTTGGAAAACGTTTTCGAACGTTGAAAATGCGTTAAATGGAACATCATTAATTCGTTGCAACGGGAAACATTCACCAAACATTCTAACATTGTCAACGACTGAGTTACAAAAGCTCCGAACTGTCAGGCATCTCCTCGCTCCATCATTCGACAATTTAAAGCCACGGTCATAAATGAAGTGATAAAACGTTTAAAACTTCACAGCGTGAGAAATGTTCGATCCGAGGAATCAATAATTTGTTCCATTTTCAGTTTTTAAGTCTGTGTTATTAAAGAGGGCAAAAAAGAGGGGAATTAAATTTGAAAGCACGCGTTGTCGAAAGTGTTATAGGTCTGAATTTATTTTATGCTGTTCTTTCAGTGTTACGGCGGTGTGCGTGCTTGTGACTACCTTGCTTGATAGCTCCCTGTAAAATTAACAGATATCAGATGCTTGATATGGGTCGCTGATTTTAAGACTAAAATATACCAAATTTCTACCGGGGAAGTTGTACTATTTACCGACTTTTCCTTATTCCCGTGTTTCCCGTTTTTTTGCTCGGGGATTCAACAAATTCAACCAGTTCAATCACGGAACGCCCTGGCAAACGCTAGACATTGTATCCTTTAAAAGCGAAAACCTGAAAACGTGACATTCTTCACAAAAAATTCATGGTTTTTATCTGTACCAGTCAGCTGCTATGAAGATGTCAAAATTTATGATCACGAATATTTTCTGATCAAAGCTTGTTGCGTGACACTATCGTCATCGCGGCTCATCAAGGGTTCGGAAAGGTCAACGCGGTAATGTTTTCCGTATTACTGTTTGATTTTTATGGTATTTTTTTTTTCACTGATTCTTCAATGGACTGCATGGCTCGCATGACTCGCTGGCTCTCATTTTATACACGTACAGCACACTTTTTGGCAGATTTCTTTGCCATCATCGCTCGATTAACGTTGTCAAGCAAGCGCGCAATGTGGTCGTCGCTTTTAATCTCTAAAATCTTCTGCTTGCGATCGTCGCGACTTCAATTTCGTCGGAATTACTGAAGTACTATTTTTCTCACCTTTGGTCTCGCTCTCTCCCAATTTTTTCGTCTTGTATCTTTTCCCCGAGGGATTTTGGAGGCGGAACGGATTAATTTTGAAAGGGATGTGAGAATTCACCGACTGCAAGCAGTCTAGCACGCCGCTGACGAAGGTAGAAAAGGGCAAATAATTGGCAACCCCAAAATTCTGTCAGCCAGCTACGTACAAAAAGAAATGCACGACCTCAACAGTCAGCCTTACAGTTTTAAGAAACTTCTCAAAAACTTCTCTCCTTTATTTCCAGATTTGAAAGTCCAAGAAAGTAATTTCATGCTTTTCTCAATTACCTCTTGACATGTTACAACCTGAAACAACATCAAACACACGTAATGTCACAAAGATCAAAGTTCTATGCAAATTGATTTGAACCGATCGAGAACAAAAAGTAAAAGCCTTTGTTTTCCATTGCGAATTCATGTCGTTATTCCCGTTGATATTACTGTTATATGGAGGTATCATTACTGTTCCTGAAAAAAAGTTGTATTTTCAAAGAACGTTCTCAAGCGTATCGATGTCTAATCATCAGTGGCTTCAATTAATGATAATTTTTCGCATCCTGGGTTGAACTTCAGGGACTAATTTTATCGATAAAAAAAAAAAACGTTTGGAAGCATTGCCAATGCATTGAACAACGTTGAAAAAACATTCTAAAACGTTGGAAAAACATTTTAAAACGTTGAAAACAATTGCCTGCGTTTGAAGGAAAACGTTGTAAATGCGTTGAGAATCATTGGAATCCGTTTCAATGCATTGTAATGCATTCAAAATGCGTTGAAATGCTTTTCAACGCAAATTTCATTAAGCCCGGTTTTCCCAAATAGGGTCACAATTGTCAATCTTCCTGCAGTTGTACATACTGTGATTATGATAAATGTATCTGATAAATTAATTTTTGATAATCTGTTGGCTGATCACTTTGCAGGAGGACTGGGACTTTCTTCAGCTTCAGTGTGCATTGTACATCAACAGTGAAATGTCAGGGATTCCTCTGAGTATGCAGGTAAGTTACAAAGGGCAATATATAGACTGAGGATAATATTATTACATGGCCGCGCATAGACACAAAATTTCTCTTTGAATGTTGAAAAATATTTCAACACGATCTATTGATTCAAACGCTAATCCCCTCCACATCTTACTGAATGTGTCAGCACATCTCTACGTCATGCATTCTCATGAAAAATCTGTGACTTTCTTTTTGGGATTATATATTTACCAAACAAGGCTGTGCTCTAGGAGAGCCCTGTGACCCGTGGCACCTAACTTTTGTTCTCGGGCGACTAGAAAATCTTTGCTTTTTTCATAGAAATCATATGCTGGACACACTGGATTTCACAAGTTCAGAGCACTGGTCTCCCTTCAATTTTTCTTTGAGCACAGCCTTGCCCAAGATTTGTAACTTTTATTTTGTAATTCTATTTGCATGATCAGCCTAAGAAAGGATCCAGAGGATTTGTACAGCGACTGAAAGGAAAGCAGGGTCGATTTAGAGGAAATTTGTCTGGAAAGAGGGTTGACTACTCTGGACGCACTGTCATCTCTCCTGATCCAAATCTTCACATTGATCAGGTCAGTTATAGCCTCCCACAAATACTTTCTTCATCACACATTCCTCCCTCCTGAAGGCTATGTCAGTTAGTGCACAGTTAGAATTAGATTTAGAATTGGCTGAGATTTCATAATAATACATGTTTTACATGTGTATTGATAATAACAAATTTGTAGAATATGACAAAAAATAATGGACACTTTGACACTAACAATAACTACAATCCAAGTCGGTGGGACAGTACTGCAATATTCATATTTTTCTGTCATTTCTTGATTCCCTCTTAAAACAGTACATCTTTTCGAGTTGAAACTCGATACACACGTCATTACTAATGTCATCTCTGCAAATCAGCATTTCGTATCTACTTTTTTGATGCTGATATTCAAATTCCTGAGACGTAGTTGCAAGCTCTCCTTCCTTTTCCCACCCAGCTGCCAGAGCACCCCAAAGAGCCAGGTGACAAAGATAGAAACTTGGGGAGGGCGACAGGAACCAGGACAGATGTATGAGAATCGGGAGAGAAGCAGGAATTGGGAAAAGTTGCTGTAACAAGGGGTGCACAATTGCATAGTATCAAATTGTAAGCTTGTTGTTGTTAGTGTCATTTTGTAAGCTACAATCATGGACAAAAGTCTGGGACACTTCTGTGTTTCTGGGGCATTTTCCAATTCACACAGGTCCAACCCCTTTCCTCACCCCACAAACAATGTTGGATGTCAATACCCTTGGCACATGTTTCTCAATGTTTTTTTACATTTGTGCTCGTTTCTGCTTCACGCTGATTGTCGGAAATCTGACTGCTCAGTCGACGGGGAGCCACAGGGGAATTGGAGGTGGAATTCAAATTCCAGAGACGTAGTTGCAAGCTATCCTTCGTTTTCCCACCCTGCCACCAGAGAATCCGGAGAGCTTGCACGCAGGCTATGTCGCATCTCCTAGTTTCTTTCTTGCTCTGCCACTACTCTGTAGTTCCTGCCCTTTCCCTGTCATCCTTTCTCTCTTGTAGTTCCTACTCCACCCTCTATTCTCTCAGTGAAAGTCATCTCCCTTGTTGTTCATTTTTCTCTCTCATTCCATTGTCTCTCAATTAACTTTCAACTCGTGATGTTTTCTGCTATGTACTTTTAGCGATTGAGAGATGAAGTTTCAGCAGTGGCTGTGGTTATTAATCTTCTTGTTTTTTGCTTGAATCCAGGTTGCAGTACCAGAGCTTGTTGCTAAAGTTCTCACATATCCTGAAAAGGTCTGTTCTTTGTAAATTTGCTAAACAAAATAAACTAATCAATCAATAAAGTAAATAATTGTAATAAATAATAATGATGATGTTTCACTGAATACCTTCTTATGGCAGACACCTCACAATGCTCATCGAAGAGCGACAATAAATTGTTTGATTTGAATAAAACAAAATAATATCTTTCTGATTCCATGAGTACGTTTGCTTAACTTGTGTAGGAGAATTTTATCAAATTTGAATTTATCCATAAGTTGTGAACATCCTTCAAGTATAATGATCTGGGAGGACATTGTTTTTCTTATTGTCTGACGTTAGTTAACAAAATAATATTATGTACTTAATTTTGTAAAGGTGACAGAAGCCAACATAAACCTGATGAAGCAGTTGATTCTGAATGGGGCAGACAAACACCCAGGAGCAAACTTCATTCAACAAAGACAAACCAACATACGAAAGTGAGTATGTTTACCCTT